GTAAGTGGATTTAAGCGCTGATTTATCTTTCGCATACTGACTAATTATACTGCGACTTGAGAATATCATGTATAAGTTGACAGCATAGGAAGTACACTTAATACAATTCGATGGGAAACTTTTATGCACTCCAAAAGCGATGTTACTTTTAAATACTAAATTTATAGACAGTATTTTGTTTTGGTATTCTCATTTGGCTGATAGAGAGATTTGTGCCTTAGTGTTCCCTTGAATGAACACTCCGTGGTACCCTTATCTAACTGCTATTTAGAGATTTCCGAGTTCCTTGCCAATTATATCTTCAGGGGAGTTTTTCAGATGTTCGCCGTATACAGAATGGATAATAATTCTCGTTCTGCATATTATCAAACAACAGAAAATCCTTCGTTTTCCATTATTCACAAATAAATGAGATATTTGGTCATTTAAAAAGTAAGTGCAAAAATTAATTCAACATGTTAATGACAGAATAAATTTAATAATCTCTGAAGTAAGTGTGCAGATACCATGTGTATTTAGAACATTCATTCCTCACACTTTTCTGGAATCCATTTCCATTGAAAGAGTTATAATTGGCTAAATTAAAACATCGAAATGCTCTCAATCCATGAAAGATCAGCAGCATTTGTTCTCCACGTAGTTGAATTTCTGACTGTCTTCTAAAATATATTAGCAGTCAAACAGGGTTCAACTATCAGAAAACAAGATGTTTCTGGACGTTCGCCTATGTGAGCCATAGCTTCTTCAGCATAGTCCAAACATATTGTTAAATCGTCATTATTCCCTTTGGTTCCAAGTGGAATATGGGGAGTCAACCGCACACTTCCGATTCAGTCTGTTCTCTACAATCCCCTCTAGTTCGCTCAACGATCGTCCATTAGCTCTCATTTCCTCATCAAACGACCTCCTCCATGTCACCCTCAGATGCCCAACCCATAACTCTCTTCCCATTCCGGCTTCACTCTACGGCCCGCTTGGTGCGTCATGTTAGTCGACAGTCTCCTCATCGAAAGTCAAATCCATTTCCATTTACTTCTGCATATTGACCAGGCGACAGATTGATTCTTGGTTAGTGTTTTCGCAGACTTTCTTGTTGCTTATCCTTCCCTTCCGGTCACGTGATCTTCAGTATTGAGCCAGTGCACGCAGCTGTTGATGAAACTGTAAAGGGTGTTGGAAACGCATTTATTGACGCGTGTGCTGTCTCTCATCCATACACAAGCTCTGGCTTGACATTACTGTTCAGAACTTGAATGTTGTTCTTTATTCTGAATTGAGTATTTTTCCATTCCACCTCAACCAAAAATATCATTTTGTCGAGCCTTCCGTTGTAAATCACGTGATATGTTCGATCATCATCGGGTTGTTGAATTAGGGTGGTAAATTTCTTCATGGTTCACTCCGTAGCGTTTGATCAGTTTCTTAATTATTTTGATGGTCAACGCTGTCAGTGGCTCTTTCATAGTCGATGAAGTCAAAATATAGTTGTGACTACCTTTCCATTACATTTTCGATGATTCGTAGTGTTGTAATTCGGTCTGCACACTATCTACATTCTCTATAAAGCAAAATTGTTATGGGAGGAGTTAGCATCTACATCACCTTTTAGTCTGTCCAGGAAAATGCGACCTAATATTTGATCTGGAGCGGACTTGAGCATGATTTCGTGCTAATTTTTGCAAAGTCCGAAGTCATCGCTCCCTGGTAGTTTGACAAGGTGGCCTCTCTCTTAATCAGTAGGTGCTTTTCATTCCCTCCAAACTTCCTGCAATAGTGGCGTTAGCATGTCGGTTTTGGTCTCTGGATCTTTTTTTTAAGTACTTTTAGGGAATTCCATTGGGTCTTGCTGCCTTTCTAGCTGGATTTAGTAGCCTTAAAGCATTCCAAACTTCTGCTTCTGTTGGAGGATCTGTATCCAGTGATCTTTCTACGGCAGCTGGTATATAGGACTAGTTGCAGGTGGTGTCCGTTTCAAGAGTCCTTTGAAATGACCAGCCTATTGTTTCTTTGCTTCTCTTCTTTTGTAATTAGATTCCCTTCACTATCTCTCATCAATCCCATCAGTGTTCACTTCCTCCCAGATAGCAGACTTTTTACGTGATATAGTGTTCTGATGTCTGTTTCAGCTGCAGCCCCTTCTACTTCTTTACTTAGTGTGTTGTAGACTGAACTCAACTTCTCTTTTCTTTATCTATCTTTGCACCGGTTAATATTCTGATTCATTATCCTCCGCTCCTCTATTAGTTTCCAGTTCTCCACAGACAACCATTATTTTTCCAGCCTCCTCTTCTTTCCTACATTCAAAATATCTTCATACTTCAGGCCGTTAAATTGCATAAATCACTAAGAGCTAACTAGAACTATTTCTAATTAAGAAAGAAAGAAAGCTTTGTTGAGTACTGTGTAATTTACACCCACACATTGTACAAACTAGTAATAAATTTATTTTCAGGTTATTATTTGTGATATCCACCAAAAACGCAGTTTATTTCTTGATTTAAAAACAAGTTCTAATTGTTCACCGTTTTTTTTTAATTTGTTAATTAAATCTTAATATAACATTAATAAACATTCCGGTTGTGTGGTACAGACAACTTTATATGACATTGAGAAAGTGCATATTTCGCAATGAACTTCTTCATGAAAACAAAACAAAACAACAAAGTCTGCTAGCACAGTAATTATCAAAACATCGCGTGAATCTATCCGTTAATTAGCATCGTAGACCATGTGAGATGAAACAACCATTTAAAGTGAAGTCACTGTTTGCTTTTAAATGACAGTGTCATTTAGGCGGTTAGATTGGAATTATTATTTTTTTTCTGTTGACCTAATTTCCACTCAGTGTTATTCTCTTGATTCATATTAAGCGACCTAGCGATAAAAATGTAAATTAACTAAACAACTTAAAGTATTTATTGAAAATTATAATATTAAAGAGTTATATCTGAACAAGCATAAACACTGATAAGGACAATGCAGATAAACATTTCAGGTGAATTAAGCTTAATTCTGAAAAGTCCTTTTATTGTTACCAAATGTTATGATCATTTTATTTTGGCATTATAAACTCTATATATCTAGTTATTGTATAGAAACGGTATGTGATTTAGATTTACTTTCAAGTCATATGAACGTTATATGTTGTAGCGGTAAATAATTCCCCAAAATTATTGACCACAGCAATCACTCATTGGATGCTGACCACCACTGTTTAAGTCGACTTGTTTAGCTGAAGGCTTCCGGTCAAGCATCCCCGCCATTTGGTACCTCGTCGTGTTACGTGCACGATCACTAGCTAGCTAAGCGTTCGTCTAACGGCTTGTTTTGGTTCCAAAATATATTACGAAGTTTGGACGATCAATTATTGGCTTTTGCTTTGTCTTTGGTACGCGAGAATAAATTAATTAGAAGTTGCTGAACGAGATATCCGCCAACCTCTAAAATGTCATTGATAATCTATGCTTGTCATCGATTACAATTGTATTCTTTTTTTATCACCATTTCACAGAGCATTATTCTAAGAATTCTTATTCTCTTTTTTATATAGTAAGCCAAATAATACGTTAGCATAAGATGGCTGTTTCTACAAACAAAAAAGACGCATCAGTTATTCTAAATAAATTTTATTGCTTTAAGAAATTATTTGTCTGTATATTCCACACGTATGACAGCAGTGAGGAATATTACAAATAAATCTAATGGTCGCTAGGTACTGAATATAGGATGAAATTAACTAGAGTTCCAGTAGGCTCCACTATGTTTGGTGTGAGGTCAAATGCCCACTGGGGAAATTGGCTAGGGATTGTGCTGGCTATTACCAATAGCTAGAAGTTAGAATTGTACTCCATTCCAGTGGTTGAACGGTTGACGAGCTCATCTCACATTTGCCGGCCTCACTCCCAGGCGAAGTTCTGGGCATGTACCGATGACGGGAGAAAAACTGGGACGAAGTAGATGTCTAGTGCCGGGTAGTTTTCATCAGTTCTCCAACTGCGAACACAAAGAATTTTTTTATTCGCGGGTAATTCCAGTCAATGAGGTAGGTGTCGCTTGTCAAAATTACTACTCCTGCACCTGTTCATCAATGTTAAACTGAGCTAAAATGTTAAATCTACTAACTACTATGCGGATTAATTCTTAATTTTAAAAACCTATGAAGGCCATATTTTTGTTTCTCGTCTTTTTTATGTAATTTCTTTTTAGTCTTGTAAAACAATCTGTACTGTTGAACTTCTTTCCAGAAAGAGTCACAATTGAATAGAATGATGAGAAAAACTTGATGCAGATTTGCACAAAATTTGAAATGGATATGAATGATCAAGCAGAGTTCTAATGGCCTGACAGATGCTGGAGCGCCAAGAGCCACAGATCATTCATTTAAAAGCTTTTCTTGCACTTGACAGCTTGTTAAACCTCTTTCAACTGACAGCCTTCAGCAGTATTATTATTATTATTTTCCTCCACGTTCCCCGGTGGAACATAGGGCTTCAAGCGAGTGGCTTGAAGTTTCTGTAGCAGTGTTTATTTTACAGGATGGGGTTGCTAGCCTCATGCACAACCTTTCCTTTTTACCAGCATTATTTCTGGCTTAGCGAAGTTAAGGAATGTGTAGGCCGGGGATCGAACCCCGGACCGTGTGCATGGTCGGCGAGCGTCCTAACCGCTGTGCCACCGACGTCCCCTTCAGCAGTAGATAATATTTATATCCATTATTGTTTTATGTGCAAATGTATTTTCAAGCTACTTTCAATATCTCTTTTTGTAGACATGGGAAGAAGCACTTGATATTACCCAGTGAAGTTAACTATCGAGCAAATATATGGGCACTGAAAGAGGCTGGATGTACTCACATTTTAGCCACTTGTGCTTGTGGTAGTTTGCAGGAGCACGCACAACCAGGGGACTTTTTGATCCTTGATCAGTTTTTCGACAGAACTACTGGCCGAGAGGTTTCATTCTACGGTAGCAGACCAGGCGCAATAAAAGGAGTCCTACACATGCCTATGGCGGATCCGTTTTGTGAAGAAACACGCCAGGTGATCACTTTATTTGTTTTATGTTATTAGCCACAATAGACATACATCCAGTGAATTTTATTTGTTTGCAAAACAATGAAACATTTTGTCAAAGCTTTAGGGAAAACACCCAAAACTATGTTGAGTTTTTATCTGTGGAAATCGAGACAACCTATACAACTCTGTCTGTAACGTCAGAAACCGATACATTATTATAATTCTGTCAGCCCCGAGATTTCTTCATTTCGTGGATTGTGTTATTTTCGTATGATTATTGACCAGTAACCCATTAAATGTTAAAAAATGCAAAGCTTTTCGTCTCTCTCATGTATTCTAATAACACATTCCAGTAGATAAGAATTTACTAACGACACAATACCAAGACTTCTGCCTTCATGGAGTGCTGATTTTCACTGTGTTTTGGAAGGCGAAATCTTCAGTGTATTCTAAGCAATCTAGAAAGAGCAACATTAGACGCATATTTTAATATAGTCCTAATATTTTTGGAGAAAATCAGTCAAAGCAAAGTTATTCTCAATACCTCAATGTGCAGGATGCAGCGTTATTTTGAGAAACACTTCCACTACACTAAGATATTCTCATAATTGTCCTGACAGAATTGTTGCTGGAAATCTTCCAGCGAATTTTATTTATCTAACACTCAACGGGATATTAAATTTTCACTGTGCTACTTTTTCACTAAAGTCTACAGTTGTTAGTGTGTGCGAACCAAATAACATACTTGCATCTTATTAGTAAACAGCAATTGTGATAACAAGGGAGAGTTTATCAATCTCAACTGTTGTAAGTTGTGTAACGGGGAGATGTTATTTATGTATTTTTATGTATATTTTACTTTAGGTTGTAATTCAAGCCGCCAAGAATCTATCCTTCGATGTCTATGACCGAGATAGTGGGGAGCCTGAGCCTAAACATCCATGTGTACATACCAAAGGTTCCCTAGTCACCATCAACGGTCCACGTTTTTCTACTCGTTTTGAATCGAAGGTATTCCGAAGTTGGGGTTTGGATTTAGTCGGTATGACATTAGTGCCTGAGGTCTCATTAGCTCGTGAAGCAGGTCTCAGTTATGCGTCTTTAGCCATTGTAACGGACTATGATTGTTGGAAAGCAGATGAAGCTCACGTGAGTAAAACTTTCAGCATTTTAATCACTCGCAATTTATAAACTGTTCTGAATAATGAATATAATCTGTGATTCTAAAAATGGGAGGAATTGTTAAAGTTCTACATTTTTCTTAATCTTAAGAGATTTGTCCTCTTAATGAATACATAACTAAAGCTAATGAAATTATGGAAGCCGCATTGTATGTTTAGCCTTTGTTTAGCGTTTCCTGATTTCTAGTGGTTATTTACGCTGATATCTATTGAAGATATACACCCTAATATAGGTATAAAACTTGGGCTCTGTGGTAGAGTATAACTCCATTATGGATATGATTTTATTCTGATAAGTCACACAGTGTTGTACAGCAATGTTAATTGATGACGTTTCGAGCACAAACTATTGCTAATAATCATATCAAGTACAAACAACAACACAACAACACTGTGTGATTTATCAAAATAAAATCTTATCCATAACTGAGTGATACACCCTCATAGAGGTCTTGATTTTACGACGCTGATGAAGCTCGCTAGTTCTTCGACGCATAAATGGAACTTCATTGCAAGGAACTATAGGGGAACATGTAACTTCATGCGGGAAGAAGATTTGACCGTTTGGCATCAATCCCAACCAACTTCAAGTACACAAGTACACTTTCTCCTCATAGTATGAAAGGGGAGTTTCATTTAAGTTAATCATGAGTTGGTGTGGTTAAGTTTAGCAGTAGAGTAGAAAAACTGTTCTACACTTATGAAATCCGCCTTATGAACATCATTTAGACACATACCAGTTCGCGAAGGAGAAGAGATTGAATGTTAAGCGGATATGTTGACAAAATTCTGAATCTCTATCACATCATCAAAGAACAACTTCATTGATAGCTTGCTTGTACTGGTAGTGATAAGGGGATGAACAGCACAGTATTGACTCTAAATTCAGGAATACCGAATAAAGACTCGAATGCCTTAAAATTTCCATTTATTTGTCAGGTTGAGTTGGATTAGACGAGCTGATCACCGGTGTGATTTTGACGCCTGCATAAATTGTTGTCTGAAATTTCTCATCTATATCTCCGACAAATTCGACTACCAGTAGAAAGAGTTGAGGTATCAGCGCTGGCTTGTGAGGTGAACACACACATCGACTAATTGCACTAGTCGCTTGACAATGTTTAGACTACTTGAAGTGTGAATTTTATCAACAGGACTTAAAATTGAAATCAATACGAGTAATTTATTTTTGTCTCTTAGGAAAATGAACATTCTCATGCCACTGGCTGTGTTCATTTCGTTTGTTTTTTGTGGATATGGCACCCTTAGTTAGATAATCCCACGGAGATTCGACTGAGTGAGTGTGACTGAATCTATATAATGTGTGTTTCTTAAAAAATTGGATACAGTAATTATCTTATTTATTTATACTGATCGACATGGTGTTTTGTGTAAGTTTGAAGTATGTTGCATATCACCTTAGGATCTGTGTCTTATTCACGGTTCGGAAGGAATATTAGATAATCAGGATTTGTAGTTTTTCTACATATGTGGATTATATACACACTTTAACAAGCACAACAATACGTCGGAATAGGCCATACTCATGCGTTTAGCATCCGGTGTACGCCTACATTGTTAGTAGTTTTATCTTGAAAATATGTAATCATTGGTAAACAACTTGGATCTGTAGAAAAAGTACAAGCGGCTTATTAATCAATGTAATGTAAGATATACATCTTGAAAATAACATAACATCCATAAACACCTTTTGAATACAATCCGCACTTATACGTTTTTCTTCCTGTTTTTATCAGGTTTCTGTTGATATTGTTTTGCGAGAATTCGCTAAAAGTATAGATAAAGTTAAAAAGGTTGTACTCGAAGCGGTGAGATTAATTGGTGCTCGTGACTGGACTAAAACTATTGAGGCCAACCAGGTAATTTTAGTGTTTTAGCATTTTAGAAAAAATATGCATTTGCCTATCATCACTTGTTAACCATGGTATATTATATTTATTACCACACATACACATACAATTCTGTTGTAATTATTTGTAATCGTAGTATTAGTATTTCGAGATGCGAATTTTGGGCTACCGATATCCACGCTGAAAATTCCACATTTGTACCAAAAATACGGTGTGGAATCACGCTGTAATCAAAAAAAAAATCCAACCGAACACACAGAGAGGGCGGAATTCAGGAATTTGTATTTAGCGGAATTATAATGCAATTCATATAAGAAATATATTAACAATCAACAGTAAGTATTTAAACAATACAGAGATAGAAATTGTCAATCACCACAAATTAATATAAACTGTGATCAATATTTGTCAGAAAAGCTTCAAAATAATTGGGCGTCGAGTGAGAAGTAGACATACTTGTAAAACATTAGATTTGAGAAATCTGAGCTAAATTGGAATCAGTAATTCTAACGTTTAATTTAGTAAATTAATCAAAATTAAAGTAACAGAAAAATTTCTAGATAAAAGGGACATCTCTTGTTTTTATAAACTTTGTCCAGTCATGTGAATCATGAAATAATCATAGAAATATAATGAACACAACTGCATGAATTGTGATCAAAATTTGACCTCAAACTTACAAATATTACGAATTAAAAGTCAATCGAAACGAAGAAAATTGTTTTTCAATAATTTCTCCTCTTCAGGTTCTTACAATTATAAAATATAATATTTATTGTCGTTACAATAATGGCCAGTTATGCGACGAACACATTTTTTTGTACGCAGAATAACAGATTTGTTATGGGGTGTTAAAATAAATAGTCGTATTTGTATGACAAATGTCGTGCTAGGCTGAAATCGATTACAAAATATTGTAAAATGGGAGACAATGGTGGTAATCAGTAATAATAGATTCGTAGAAAGTATATATATATATATATATATATATATATATATATATATATATACATGCAGTAACAATCGTGTGTGTATGGGGAAACCATTGTAGATCATTTGTTAGCCTCTCCATACGAAGATACAGACAACCGGGATTTTAGATCAAGTATGATAAATTAGTGATACAGATAGATCCATTTTTACTTACTCCTCAGGACTTTGCTGTTACAAGTTGATTGAATGATTGAACAGCTAACTAAAATGAATTATTGATTGAGTGACTGGCTGAAATGATGAGCAACTTGGCACAGTCATTAGTCAATTGGAATTCCCACTCATTCAAATAGTACACATAAAATCATCAAAAATGAATCTAATGAAACCACAGTGGACTAAGACCAACTGGAGATTCGTGAGGACTTTCAGGAACTGAAATACATTTTGATTACCTCTGAATGTAATACAGAATCGGAGCAGGTCTTCTTAGATGGGTCATTTTCTCCTCTCATTTTTTTCAACAGTTATTTATTTTAAAAAGACACTTGCAGCGAAAAAAAATTTTTTTCGACGAAGTCATCAACTAGGCTGTACATTCTTGTATTTATAATTATTGGGTGGGAAAGTTCCAGAATATTTTCCGGTCAAGGGTCAAATTAATAAAATTACAGTTAGGAATTAAAATGCCATAATAAACAGGGGAGTCGAATAGAACTCAAACATTTACATATTGTGCGATTAGGATTTAGAAATGCAGAAATAACAAAATAGACAGGATGTTTGTATAAAAAATATAGTGGGATCATAACTAATGTGACGAATAATTGTTTCTGCATTTAGGGATTAACTAGGTAGAAATAGTAAAATGAAAAATTAGACAGGCAGTTCGGATATGAAAATATGGTAGTGTAAATAGGGATTAAAAAAAACTTAAAAGTAAGATGAATCATGTGAAAGTTTGGATAAAAAAGGTAATAGGATAGTCACTATTAAAAGAAGTACCTGTTTATGGCGGCCATGGCAGGGACAAGGGTTGGACGTATTTCTTTTGGATACTTAGCTTGGGTTTGAGCTTTTGGATGGCTAGTGCCTCGGCTCTGCCCAGGTGTCTTGATTTTACCCCCTTTGGTAGGTTTGATCGAATCTTGTATATGATTTTGAAGGATTTTTCGAATGGCGCTGAATGTCCTGAATTGACCAGATGTTCTGTCACTGAACTATATACACGTTTTCGTTCTCCTTTTACCAGCCAGGCTGGGTAGTGTTCACGAGCACGTTTTTCAAGTTGGCGCATTTCATTTTCTTTCTGTATGTAATTAACTTCGTATGATAAATTAATCAGATAATTTATGTTTCATTATTTACAGTTGCTAGTTCAAAACTCTCGTCAAGATTTGGCTCATGCGAAAGACACGGACAAATAAACAACGATATCGTATGAACAACTGACTGCTAGGATCATTCAGCTGATCTAGTACAGACACTGACGATTTGACTTTTTTCACATATAATCTATCGACTAAAATTATGTATTCCTGATTAATTTGAAAAATCCCTTTCTTTTGAACGCTAATTTCTAACACAGTTTGTTTTCGTTTAGTAATTTATTGTATATCTTAATAAATTGTATGAAAAGATGGATCGTAAATAAAAATGTGCATCATTTCATTGTATTGTAGCTGGGTTGCATATTAAATATTGTAATGAAAGATTTAATAAATGCTAATTTATCTCCAAAAACAATCTTTAATTTCGTTTGTACGTCAATACAACTCTCGCAATGAACAGATTTCCTTGTTTGAAGTAGACCACCACGAAAAGCAATAATAATCTGATCGTGCTGCATATCTGTTCAACAGAATTGACTAACGATTGATTCTTAAAGCTTTCTAATTATATATAGGTAAAAAGAGACAGGTCATTGAAATTAGGCGTAACTTTGCTGGTCTTTAGCTCTCCTTACTGACATGAAAAGTGAATTAGTCTGTAAACCTAGCCATATCATGATTGGTATAATTATTCCAGGAGGCTATGTATTTCCAATTTGACAGAATGTAATATTTACTATAGTCGCCATAGTAAATCAATGAAATCGTGTGATTTTCGGCTGGAATGTGTACGATTATGTTGGATCACTTAGTGTAGAATAAGTCTTTCCAATTGAAGGAGATAGTAACTCGAGAAGGAGTAGTAATATTGACTACTCGAATTTATGACGACTAAATTTTGTCAACAAGCAACTAATGGTAAAAGTGATTATAGAAACACAGTAATCTTTGTAACAAATGAACTGCCCTGATTAACGTACACGTGTCCATGGAGAAAAGGTGATCGATTTCACCTACTCGATTCGGTGAAATTTATTTATTTTAATGTCATCGAAATTAGTGGAGGATTAGGAGTTAGTCTGCAATGAGGTTTGGATTTAGAAGTTTAACTCATCTAGTAAACGTGATTCGATACAATATCGATATTCATTTAGATTCTATGCAGAGTAGCAGTAGATTACTCCGATCAACGTGGAACACATACCGTGCAAAATAATCGCTGTATTGTGGATTTTAATGGACAGTCTTCCAATTTAATAAATGATTGAGTGAATGATAGATTATAACCTCGATGAAAAACGTTGCCTTTGATGTTGATTTCACTGTTTTATACAACATCTTTAAGAATAATAGTAGGATACTGACTGATCATCTTGAGTCGATCTGACTGTTGTCCTGAGTCGTGAAATCAGACACTAAAGAAAAATTTAATTACTACAGTTTTCTTGTATTTTGGACAATGCAAACAACTAAGCTTTCATTTCCAATGAAAGAAATGGTGTTTTGAGAGAGAGTTAAATATGCATATACATCTGTCTGCTAATAACCGATAGTCCTTCTCCAGTTAGGAGCTGCTACTAGAATCCAATATGGTGTTTCAATAGTTACATTCTTGACTCATCAACCGATTAATGTAGAGCCGTTTTGTAGTGGAATTGTAGGTTCGTAATTCTAAGAAGATCCAGTCAATGACGAAGAGACTATACACTACGGTCTAATTTCGAGTGGTTTTTCAAGTGGTTCCGGTCTACGACATGACTTACTTTCAAACCAAATAGCTTCTTACATACCTAACATCCGAGACTGGATTATGACCGGAGATATAGATGAGTTATCTGGAAATGCAATGAGGTACAAGTGAAAATCAATTACTTTGGAGCAGAGACAATAAAGTAAAGTACGAAACAAATCTTTTTCAAAGGAAGGGAAACAAGATTCTGAATGAAACCTAAGGATACAGTGTGTTGACCATCACGGTCATCAGATTTTGCAGCATATTTCACTGGATGCCACTAGTTATTGTTTCAGTCAAGTGAAGTTGACGAATATATCATCCAAGCAATAGATTATTCGGTGTAGAACAGATAATTTCAAATATTCTTCTGGAGTACAGTTGATGTCTACTGCCTTTTAAGTATAAAGCTATCTAAGTGTTATTTCGATTTGTTCTTCAATCAACCTCGATGAAAGGACGTGCATATTTTTAAACCCCATGAATCTAAGCAGAAGCATTTGAAGTGAATGAAGTAATGCTTGAATCTTTCTGTCTTGCTTGCAGAATGGGATGAGTGTGCTGATTAACCCATAGAGAATTTCGCACAAAAGAACATTTCAGCCTGCCACAGCAGATAAAATAAGCGAAAATGAGCAGTATGAAACCGCTACAGATGAAGATCAACTAAAGATTTATGGGTTCTTTCAAATGTCTTAAACACTGTATGGAGTGAATCCACTGCCCTCATTATTAATATAATTTGCTGCATTATAAATTACTCTCATGCATCTATTCTTAACGTACCTCATAAAAAAGTCAGCTGTGGTCGAAAACTTACAATATTTCATACTACATACTTCTATGGCTAAGCTATGCAGGAGTAGATTATGACATAACGAACTATTGCTCTCCAGACTCACTGTTTGATGGGTAACTTGGTGTACCATCTGTTTCAAAGAGAACAACTTTCGGGGAGGGCATCTGTTTAGATTCTGTGATTCAAGTTACACTGGTTGAGCCATTCGTACCGGACGTAGTACGAGTTGATTCGACAAACAAAGCTTCCATTATCAATCTCTCAATCCACATTGCCATAATGAATTTTAAAAATGTCGTCTTGTCTGATCCCATTTTATAGTTGTGTGTAACTGCATATAGTTTTATAGCTGTTATTTTATAGATTTACTGGCATATTAGAGTCAACTGACCTAGAATTTCGTGCTCCAATTAACCAACTGCTTCCATCCAACAACACTGGTCTATGTATTTAACCTCTACAGGGGCTGTTAACCGATATTATTTGTTTCTAAGTGAGTCTGCCACTTCTATTCCTGCATTGTTAAGAATTCTACGTTAGGTTGCTGAGATTTCTTCTCTGTATTGAAGCACTACCGATATTTTAATTTCCCCACTGTTGGTGTTATCGGTTTTCTGTGGATGTTTATCAAGCATATCGACCCTATTATTGTTAACTTCATTTTTATAATTTCCTAAATACTTCCTGATTAATATGTCGGAGGAATTATTACGCTTCAAAGCTTCTCCCAAACATCCTACTTCCAACCTAAAATTTTTCGGTACTATTTAGTTTCTTACCCTATTTTTTAAAAAATCTAACATAATCCAAATATCGGTCTGAATGTGTATGTTTTCTCTAAAATCTAGTGCTTGGCTTTGTATCTTTCCTTTTTATGATGCACTCTAACATTGGAAGCCCTTCTTTTTGATTGTCTAACTGAACTGAATTTCTTCTACCTTCGAATTGATATGTTCGGAAAATCTATCTAAATCTTGTACTTTTGGTCCTGTGAGTGTGTCATCTACATAAATTGATCATACCTTGGGATAGGGCTAGGAGATCGAACCTCTAACTTTTCGCACCTTTCCATAAACTTATCAGCCATTATCTGGAATATTGGTAATCCCATGACAACTCCCTCAATTTGGTTGCATATTTTTCCTTGGAATTTAAATACTGTAGAAGTCAGGCATATTCGCAGTTCTAACATGATATTTTCTTCTCCCAGGTACTCGGTCAAAAATCAGTTCGTTTCTGACCGCTTTTATACAGATATTTATTGGTATTTGTGTATATGAGCTGATAACTTCGAAAATAACAATTTTTCCACATCATCTAGTTTTAAATTATCCAATCTCTGTTTCATTTTGTAAGAATTAGTGAGTCTAGACTTCGGCTGGTTGCTAGCTGGACTGAATAACATATATAAGCATTTAGACTACTTCACTATAAATTATTTAAATTAATCCCAGCGTGTTAAGAAAACCAAAAAAAGATTTTTCTGAACGTTTCGACGTGTAAGCCACAGCTTCTTCAGCAGATTTATTCGGATTTTTAATAATTAACTTTCAGAACAATCTTTTTTTGGTTTTCTTAAAACGCTGGGATTAATTTAAATTATTTTATTTTATTATTTTTTATTTTTATTTTTGACTTACAGCTTGATTCCACACTGCATTTTTGGTACAAGTATGGAATTTTCAGCATGGATATCGGTAGTCCAAATTTTGCAGGCCGACCATAGATATCGAGTGTGCGCCGGCGTGGGCTCGAACCCCGGACCATGTCCATGGTCGGCGAGAGTCCTAACCACTGTGCCACTTTATAATGAATCAATCTAACTCGGCGCTCAAATTATTCCAGGAAGATCGTAACACCTACGGTCTGGAAACCTATAATTTAGACTACTGACAAATAGGGAAATTTCTAAAATTAACTTTGTGTTTAATGAGATATCCTGGTTTATAAGCCTTAACAACACCCATACATCCTATCAGGGTTATTAGTTTTCGGCATGATGAAAAATCATTTAAACTCACTTAGAAACAGCTTCATTCGTCCAATGTTGATTTCAGGACTTTATTCATGAAACCATTCACTGATTTCTTAATTTATCCAAACAGTCCTGTGGATATTGACTTCTGCAAATAGCCTGTAGTGTCTAACACTACAGATGAATTACAGTTATCTGATTTAATAGTTACTGTATCTTTGTTTCGGTTTCGTCAATTAAGGTTTTCCTCTTTTTTTGGTGTGTAAAAATCAGAGTACACCGTGTTTGTACTTCATCTGCCGTTGTTTTATCTATCCTATTTATTGCTATTTCTATTTATGTTATGACATCCTCAAGTTTCAGTGTATCTGCTACTACCCTGAAAGCTGTGCAATTACAACTTATAAGATTACGATCAATAAATTTTGCTTATAACGTCATCCAGTAAAGGTAATACTCTTTCACTCTGTGGTGTATCCGATAAACAAATTAGCATAGAATTACACAATACCACTATACCCAAATTTTACACGTATATTAACACATGGCTTATGTTTTCATACATGTTCATTCATGCTTCGGTAATGTAT